GGACTCTCCTGTTCCTAACGCATGTCCGTAATGCAACCAGAAACGCGACTTCCCTGCCCATTGCTTCGTTCCCAAGGAAGATTAGGTGCTGGTTTAATCGTCCTTTCAACTGAGGCTGAGCTTCAAGGAAGCTGAGGATAAGAGGCTTACTTCTGTTCGTTCAGTGGTTCACACACACAAAAAAACAAAAATAAATTTTAAAAAACAAACCACTTACTGAGGACCTGCCACCGTGCCAGGCCCTGGGACACGGGGAGATGGCCTGTCAGCTGGGTAAACAGGGTCCTTATTAATTGAAATCTTTGCCACTGGGGAAAGGCCACCAAAAATAAATTTATTCACAACGGGGGCCCAAATTTCACTGTAAATAGTGAAGAATTAAGGACTTTGAGAGTGTATCTTGAAAAACAAAGAAACCAAAAGCCATGCTCATCAGTTTCCCTCTAGCTCATTTGTCACTGGGTCTGATTCTGCCAATGAGTATGAATCAAACCAGTGTTCACTCCCATCAGCTTCATAAAATTCTACGTCTTGAGCATGATTTGTGGTTTGGCTTGGCAGTCAATGTACATTATACTGTAAAAATTACCCTGAAGGGCAGGGACAGACGCTGATAGGAGGGAGGGAGGGAGGGAGGGAGGGAGGGAGGGAGGGAAGGAGAGAGACTAAATGTATCAACTTATCCACAGTTTATTAAGGAAGGCTCTTATCCTTGGATAATCATGAGTGTCCCAGAAAGAATGCTGGACTGTAAGGTTTTCCATCAAGCAGGTGGGTGCCGTCCTTGGCACATTCAGTGCCTTGATACCTAAGAGCCTCCCTGTGACGTTCCCTTCAATGAGCAGCTGAGTTCCTGGGATCCAACCCACCTCATGCCAAAGCTCAGCCCTGGCCCCAAAGTGACTATGGGCGAGGAGAGATGTTCTCGGAAGTACCGATACTCAGGCCCACACAAGTCCACATCTACCTGAGGAGCTTGCTAAGTCAGCTCCGTGTCCTGTCTGAAAAAAACTCCCTGTCCCCCTGCCCCACCCTCGCTGGACACTTGGGTGGAACGGCCAACTAAACGTAGGGTTAAAAAGGAAGACTCAGTCCTCAGGAGAATCTCAGAGACTCCAGTCACTATAAAATCTTATAAATTAGGTCTTTATCCTTCATACCTCCTCTGGCCTTCTGCTTGCTTGTGACTTCACCGCCAAGCCATCTGTTAATTCGAATGATTAGTACCAAGCTATCAGAATAGTTGAAAAGAGAGGAAAATTAAATGGCATCCTTTTAAAAAATATTTTTCAATAACATCCTCTGTCTCTCATCCTCATGAATTATTGACAGGGAGGTTCTCCACAAAGAAAGAGGACAAAGAACCAGTTATAACATCTTATTTCTGCCCCTGGACACAGGTATCCCTGAAGACTTTTTTTTTTTTTTAATATTTTACTGATTCCAATTGGCCTATAAGGAGCAGGGCCAACGGTCGCCCCACCTTTTCACTGGAAAATCCTCCCCGGGCCCGAAGGTCGTTCTCGGTTTCTTTGATGGATCTCATTACGTTCCCCCAAGTTAGAGCCTCTCAGGTCGCCCCAAACAGATCACACTTTCATTGTCCTGCCGCAGGAAACAGGTCTGACCCCTCCCTACCCCGCAAAACGTACACACTTGCGTGTGCTCACAAGCACACTCACGCACGCGTGCACGCACACGCAGACACGTGAGGCCAGCGCCCACACCGAGAGGCCAGCCCTGATCTCCCTGCCCAGGGCCTGCGGGGTCAAAGGAGGCCCGAGAGCTGCTTGTAAAGGGCGAATGACCATGGCCCGCCCTGGTCAGTTCCTTTGACGTCGCAGCACTTTGTCTTCGAACCCCCAGTGCTCTCAGAGTGCCTGTCACTCCACGATGAAACATTGCCATTGGCCAGTGGAGGCAATAAAGTCCCCAAACCTCTTTGATTTCCCTGTGGTATTGACCTTCATGCAGTTTACCACCCTCCAAAGCCACGATGTCCACTGTGACCGGCCCACGGGGCTTGCTGGGTTACCCACCAGCCATCCCTGTCCCCTGACACTTCAATAAGGCATGGAGCTGAGGGAAGTTCCCTGGACCAACGCTCAGGCCACGTCCCGCAGGGCCACACCTGCCCTCGGTGGATACCCTCTGTGTCCCCCCGATTGCGGGGAGCGGGGAGCCCTTTGAAAAGGGGCACCAGTGACCCACCCCCGGCTCACCTCTCTGCTCAAATAACCAGCGTGAAAGAGGAGAGCCTGACCGCCACTGCGGCTGTTACGGAGGAATTATTGCCTATACTGCGGTGCCACATTCCCAGGGAGAACTGGAACGGGGGTGGCTTCTTGTGTCTTAGCTCCACTTTCAGACTTTGCTTCTGATGTTCATTTTTTCTCTCTTTGAGTCTGGCTTCCCCTGCCCCCAGTCAGGGGGTCCCCCTGTTTGCACTTAGGATGTTGGTGCGAAAGCCGATGTCGGGGTGGGAAGTAGAGTTTCTCCGAGCTCGGGGGGGCCTCAGGCTGTCTACCCACCGGTCAGTCCTCGGTCCATCAGTCAGTCCGCACGGGGAGAGCATGGCTCTAGTCACATAAAAACACATTTTGGGGTCACTCCTGTCCATTCACAGACAAGAGGAAAGTTGTAAAAGCACGATCGTGGTTGGGTTGTGGCCTTCCACAAAGATATGTCCAAGGTAAAAGACCCTTCACCACCTGTGACACTGGCCTTAGGAGAAGGGTCTTTGCCAATGTCATTAAATGAAGAACCTGAAGATTAGATGGCCCCGGATTTGCGGTGGGCCCTAAATCCAATGACAAGTTTCCTTAGAAAGACCAAGGGAGATCTGATCCACCGAAACACAGGGAAGAGGCCACGTGAAGACGGAAGGAGAGGCTGGAGAGAGGCCGCCACAAGCCAAGGAAGCCTGGGGCTGCCCGAAGCTGAAGGAGTCAGGAGGGAGCCTCACCTAAGTCTTTGGAAGGAGAAATGTAAGAGAATAGATCGTGTTGTTCTACGCCACCATGTTTCTAGCAATTTCTTCGGCAGACCTAGGAAATGAGCACAGCAGCACCCAAAGAGGAACAGGGGTTCCAACAGCTCCCCACATCCTCCGCGGCTCCGGCGCACACCAGCCGCCTGGGCTCAGCCTGCCCTCCCCCGGCTCTCCGGTCTCACCCCTGGGCCTTTACTCGCCGCTCCCCAGCCCAGGAAGTTCCCGCTCCTTACTCCCTGCATCCAAATATCCAGAAAAAGTTCTGTCTCTCCCAAGAAAACTCCCCCTTTGGGTTCCTCCCTTAACAATGACCTGTCCTTCTCTACAGAAGGACCACAGAGACCCTTCTTACCTCATGTCGCCCCCCGCCTCATTCGGCTCTCGGCATATGCCCGCTGGCATGCACGAATGCTCTTTATGCTCAGGAGATGGCAAGAGCCAACACCCATCTGCTGCAGAGTTCGCAAAGCGCTCACCACGCACAGCATCTTGCTTGACCTTGACATTGAGCCGTTGGGTAGGCAAGACCTACATCGGAGCCTAGTCACACAGACAGACGGTTCCGAGGAGGAAGGCGACCAACCCGCCAATGTCCTTCCTATCAGGATCGAGCCAACGGTGTCTGTCTTTGCCCTGTTCGTTTATCAAGAGCATGGTTTTTCTCTCCCTGCCCCTTGGCACACAACGTGGACTCTGGGAACGTAAACATGGAGGCTGAGGCAAACCTCCAGGGCAGCTCGACTCGCCCGTGTGAAGGTGCTCGGGAGAGAGCTGCTGGGAAAGCTCTGCCTGTGGGGACAGCTGGTGGGTTCTGCTGGGCTGTGCTGGGGTCACCCAACCCCACCCAAGACACCCCAGTGGGCAATTCCATTGGCCATGCCTAGTTGACAAGGAGGAAAGGCGTGGAGCGGGGATGAGGAACAGAAAATGTAGAAAGGCCACAGTTGGGTTCCCTGACCGTATTTCTGCCTGCCCCCCCGCCCCCGGTCCCAGCCTGTCCTCCGCGATCTTCACCCTCCCCGCCCCACAGACGCAATGCCTTTCACTGGACGCTTGGCCGTCCAGCTGAGCAAGTCCCTACCTTCACTTCAGTTCTCACGGAGAAACCAGTCTTTGCCCTGGGCTACTGAAAAGGGCTCTGGGGGCTGGGGGTGGAGGGTCGGGAGCCGAGGGGGCGCCCGGGAAAGTGCTGTCTGCCTGTAGGGGGCGCTGGAGCTACACAAAGGTGCCGGAGACGGTGTCCCCAGGGAGCAGAGCCTCGGCCATCAGACGGCCCAGGGTCAGCCCTTGAGCCAAGCCAACAATCAGCCATGAAAGGACGGTAATTCAGTCACTGCTGGCCAGAGGGGACCCTGCAGGCTTTGCACTGAGGGTCTTCATTTTTCCTGTCAACACCCTGCAAGCCAGGCTGAGACCCTCTCATTCCCACTGGGCAGAGGGGAGAAAGGGAGGGGAACTCGAGGTCCAGAGATGTTAAGCCATTTGTGCCGGTCGCCCAGCATGTGCAACTTAAAACAGCCCGTGTTCCAGGAAGCCGTCTCCACTAGTTCGCCCTGTATTTACGTCGGAGCATGAGGAGGGGACCTCTCGCCGCTCCGCACGCGAGCAGTGTCCCCGGCCGCCCTCACACAGGATAACCACCTACAGTCTGGTTTCACGTGGACACGCGAGCCCGTCTGCTGACCATTTCAGCCCCGCAAGGCTCCCACGGGATCGAGTGCGCTTTCTTAAAGGTGAGGGAAGGTAGAGGCACCGAGAGTTCTGCCTCGCGTGTCCCAGGTTCTGCCAGGAACCCGCACCCAGGACTCCTGGCCGATACTCAAGGACGTCCATCGGCTTCCCGTTACCGGACCCTCCATGCATCTCGCCGGGGGTCCCCACCGAGCAGCCTGCCCCCTAGGGTAGGGTCACGCCGGCTGTCCCAGAGATGTCTCCCGCTCAGCCTGCACCCTCAGCAGCCCAGGCCTTCTCATGCCCAACACGGATTCACGTCCCGGGAGGGCGTTACCTGCCGTTTCCGAAGCAGCCTGCCCGAGGGTCCGGCGTGGGTCCAGCCCCTCGCCGTGGGGAGGGTGGCTGTCTTTTCTCAGCGCCCAGAGTGGCTTGCGCAGTCTCCTCGCTCTGAGCTGCACGCGGCCCTGCAAGAAGCTCCCTCGGTACCTGGAGGACAGAGAGACACATGAGCCATCACCAACCTTGGGAGCAGGTGTCCAGAGGCTCATACGCACAAAATCCCAAAACAGCAATGCTCAGACAAGAGAACCCACGGGCCTGGGGTGCCCGGGAGAACACAGAGGCTTGACCTTTGTGCAGTTTGTCAGGTCTTAGGGGCGCTTTGCCCCTCTTCTCCTTGTCTTTCTTCCAAGCCATGGGGACAATCATAGGACCTATGTCATGAGGTTGTTGTTGGGACTCAGTGAGATAGTGCTTATAAAACTCATCCTGTACCACATGCCGCATAACCTGCGTGGGAACTAAATGCTGGACCATATGGCCTTGTCTCCTGAGTGACCGGGCTGCCCAATAGGAATTCCTGCAATGACAGGCATGTTCTATCATCTGCACTGGCCCAGGCAGGACGCTAACCACTGAATTACTGAGCATTTGAAATGTAGTTAGTGTATGTGAGGAACCGAGTTTCACAATGTATTTCATTTTAATGACTTTACGTGGCCACCTGTGGCTCGTGGCTGCCGTATCGGACAGTGCGGGTCCAAAGGGTCTCCTGCGAAAAAATGGGCCCCCCAGACTTTCCACTGAGAGAAACCTTCCCAGCTCGCCTGGGCTAACCTCCGCAATGAAGGATTCGCGTCTCAGTGTGAGCGCACGGGAACTTCAGGGAAAGAAGACTCTAGAGCTTCTATTTGCAATTATTTTCATCTAGACATTCTTATGTCTGCCGTTGCATGCCCTTCAGAGTGTACATAATACATTGGTGGGATACACATATGTGACATTTGTAGATGAGCAATTATGCACTCGTTACTGAGTGCAGGCTCGAAACTGGCTCCTCTCAGAAACACGCACGCGACAGCAGAGCAGCCAGCTAGTCTAGCGCCCCCATGCCGCAGGTGAAAGAACTGAGACGCAGAGCCGCCGTCCTGGGAGACTCACAGCCCAGGCGGCCCGCGGGGAGCTAGGCTCTCCAGCCAGGGCTCCGCACCGATTAGCAGAGGTCGCCATCAGTGGTCAGCTCATCGAAAGGGTCTTTGCCCCGGTTCTAGCCCCCTGGTCAAGCCACAGGGACTTGTTCCCGTCATAAGCCTCAGTCCACAAGAATTCGACGCCTGCGGCACTCTCCAGAACCACCCGGCTGGGGAGGACGGCCAGGCGGCCGGCCGGGCCACGTTCCTCTCTCATTTGTCTGAGCCTCCCCGGACATCCGGCCGCGGTCCCGCGAGCGCCGCGGCGCTGGCAGGATTTTCAATCAGCTCTGCAGAGCGAACGCAGCGTCCTCTCGGCGCCGGCATGGACGGCAGTGGCGATAGGAAAGTGACTTTCTGTTCATCTTTTCTGGCTCTGGGCGGGGGAGAGGCCCCGCGTACGGGGTACGGCTGCTCCTTGGCCCCGGGCAGCAGCTATCGTTGCCCAGCGGCGCCCGCCTCCTTCTTTGAAGCCATGGTCCCTGCCTGTCCAGATCACAGGTTCCAGAAACTGCTCTCGGGGCCTGGGTGGGAAGCAGCAGGGCTGTGGTTTGATCCCCACAATGCTCTGCACCAGTCAGGCCAAGAATGACTCCAATGGCAGAGACCACGGAAGGAAGGCGGGCGCAGGGGCACGGGGAGCGTCCCCAGGGCCAGTCACCTTTGCGCCCATGTCCATGGGTGACCGCCAGAAGTCAGCAGGTGTTAAGAGTGGCATAGCGTGAACCACAGGGGAGTTCTGCTTTTGGAAAATGGAGGAGCAAGGCACCCCACTCAATGGAAGCAGCCAGGGGCCTGCTGGGAGAGGCCCGGCCCCTGAATCCGCATCTTTTTAGGGTGGAATTTGGACCCTTTGCCCTTGGGGAAAGCCCAGGCGGGTCTTGGCATTGCCCTCAAAGCAGTATTTTCCTCAGCCATGGGCAGAGTCTGTTGTGTTCCCTCCTGGGTTCTCCCCCAACATGCTCACGCAGCGCCCCCGGGAACAGCGTGCCCACCAGGAGTGAGCAGCCAGGGCGAGGCAGGGCCCGCAGGCTCACCGTCACCGGTCCCCCGGACCTCCGCCGTTTAGCAGAAGCCAAAGTGCCTCTCGCCTGCACCGGGCTGCACACCCGTGCCCGGCTGCTGGAGCGGTGGCTCCCAATGGCCACACTTGCTCCCATCTCTAGGGGATTGGCCTGGGCAGATGGCAGCTCAGTCCTTTTGCCTCTGAGCAGGACAGTCACCCCACGGGATCAGGCAGGACGGGGCACCCAGCATCACATCTCCACGCAGCTCTTCCCCTGCTCGGTCTCCCTGGCGCCCTTCGCAGCCCCTCCCTCCGTGCATCCCGCGCAGGGCAACCCCCGCCGCAGGCTCTGCTTCCAGGGCACTGGCCTCAGATGCGATTCCAGCATCTCCCCTTCTTCCCCCAACTTCTGTTTGTCAACGTTCCCCACAGACACTCGCTGGGATGCGGGGACGGCGCCCTTCAGGACACATGCATCCATCTAAATGTGCAGTCGCTCTTGCACGTCACGTTGTACCACGGAGATGCTCTTTTCTCACTTTATTTTCAGTCAACGCTATGTTTATAAGATCCATCGAGATTTCTGTGTTTATGTCTAATTTGCTGCTCTTAGGTGGCCTGTGTCGTGGTTTACAGGGAAAAGAAAAAACCCAAAACAAAAACACAAGCTGCCATATTAGGTCCCAGTTTTAAATATTGGGTTGGCCAAAAACTTTGTATGGTTTTTCTCCATAAAATAGCGCTTACTTGTCTTTAACTTCATTTGATACAATTTTGTTAGATTGTATTGTGGCAGCTGTCATATCCGTGTGCATTTAAAAAAATATATTAAAATTGGTGGATTTCTGTGTAGCCATTTGAATATGAAGATGGAAGAAAATATGCAACATGTTCTGCATATTGCGCTTTGTCTCAAGAAAGGTAAAAACACAACTGAAGTGTAAAAACATTTTGTGCAGCGTACAGAGAAGGTGCTATGACTGAGCGAATGTGTCAGAAGTGGTTTGCCACGTTTTGCACTGGAGATTTCTTGCTGGACGGTGCTCCACGGTCGGGTAGACCAGTTGAATTGATAGCGAACCAACTGAGACTTGATTTGAGAAAATCAACACTATACCACACGGGAGACGGCCGACATACTCAAAATAGCCACATCAATAAAGTTGTTGGGGAAAATGAAAAGCGTGCCTTTTATTTTATGGAAAAAACCATATGAACTTTTTGGCCGACCCAATGCAACTCCTACACTCAGCGCACGTGCCACTCCCTTGGCCCCTCTCGGTGGGTCTCCCCTGAAGAGCCTGCCGTACTGACAGAGATGCAAGACCAGCATGGTCTCTTTGTCTATAGACCTCATGGGAGAACAATCAGGAAAAAGCCTTCTTGCGCCCCTCAGCTCCAGCAAGGACACTGATGCTGGCTGGCCAAGGTCAAGACCTCAGGGCACACTAGTGTTGACCGGAGTCCAGTGGGAAGCTCACGGAAGGAGCAGGGTGAGACTTTTGTCGTCTATCTTGACGCTGCCTGAAAGCCACCGGCCACCCTTCCTCCTCAACTCCACGCTGCCCTCCTCCAGGGAGGGGTCCTGCAGCCTCATGCGCCTGCCTCACGCATGTTCACCCGATCCCTCCGGCTGCCCTCTCTTGGGCCCACAGGGGACAACAACACAAAGAGAAGCGGACAGAGGCACGGCAGACCCTCTGGATCGCACCGAGCAGAACCTGGGACCAGGGTGAACGCCTCCAGTGCCACAGCGACCACGAAAAGGGTCTGGACCCTCTGTATGGGGGGGCCATCACATCTATAGGTTCGTGTCCTCATCTCACTCAGAAACTGTGCTCTCATCACCAAGAGTGTGACCTCATCACACACGTAAAGTATGTCACGACTACGTGAGCAGACAGTTGCCCAGAGAGAAACACCCGCTCTGTAAGGACAGACACCACCGACCGCGTGAACGACGCTCGCAGGGCCCAGCGCTCTCCCTCCTGCTCTCCTCTTCGGGGATCGCTGCATGTTTTCGGGTCTACAGGGAGCCTCCTCCCCCATCACCCCCGCCCCCGTCTCCACCGCGCTCCTGCCGATTCCCCTGGGACTTCACGGGTCATTGTCCCATTGGTGGAAGCTTCCAAGAACAAGTCTCCGGCATTTCATGCTTCGCGTGGCGCAGTGCACAGATACAAATGAATCAATAAAATCCAATTCCATGGTCCAGCGCTCGCTCTGAGCCTGGCAGAGACGCCCTCCCTGAGCTCCCTGAATCTCTGGGCCCCTCGCTGATGTCGGGGCAATTGGAGTCAGAATTCTCCACATTTTCCCATTTCCTCTCCAAAAATGAATCCTGCATTTTCTCATCCTCCCTTGGAATCATGGGCTTTCATTCATGAAAACAGCCTTTTTTGTGACAGTGTGGTATTTGGAGTTGACAACAAAGAGACAGATGACACAGAATGGAAGGCCCTGGAAGAAACTCCAGGTATAGGCAGAGAGTTATAATATAGCAAATAAGCGAATAGAAAAGCGACGAACCTAGGAGTCTGCGGACCTTTCATACAAAGGTCCAGATAATAAATATGATAAATGTTTTAGACTTTGCAGGCCACATACAATTTCTGACATATACTGTTCATAGATATGAGTATATACGTATGAATCTATATATACTTTTAAAAATGTAAAAGCCATCCCTAGCTCACAAGGTTTATGAACACGGGTCAGAAACCAAATCCGACCCACGGTCCGTATTTTTTCGTAGGGACGGAAACAAACCCTTCCTTACATCACACAGAGAGAACACACTTTTGTATTTGTGATTGAGAGTAAAGAGAGGTTTCCAAGACAAGACCGAGAAGTGATCATTGTGAAGAAGGAGGTACCTCCGCTTCCCTATGTCAAAATCACCCCTTCTTGGCAACGAGCAAATCGTAAACAAGGTTAGACACTGAGACTCGCTTTCTGACAACAGTTACCCTGATTGACTAGCAGCCCACCCACCCCCGTCATCCAAGACTCAAAATGCAGATTAAAAAATAAACATGTTTAACACACATTGAAATGTATTGGCTTTCTGATGAGAAGGTAAGATACATTTACAAGTCAAAAGCCCAGCAAGCACGGGAACCCGAAGAGTACAAGAGCTCTCATTGGGAGGGCACGTGGGGGTGAGTTTGGTCTTTCACTTTCATGGTCTGCTGGGCTATGGGGCCCTGGGTTCGAACACAGACTCTCCCCCAGGGGAGAGTCAAGTGGAAGAGCCAGCCTCCACTCTTACAAAGAGCGGAGACCTCTGAAGGCCGTACCCTCAACACCTGGGCGGGTCAGAAACTACGCACTCCACCCTCCCCACCTGCCCGGGGGACAGCAAAACCCCACCTTATCACTGAGTAGAAGGGCAAAAGTCTCTTCTGCTGATTTCATAGCAATAAGACAGTCTTCTCAGGGGCTGGCTATTTAAATTCACACTACACAGTGACGTGAAGAAGCCTAAAACCAAGAATTTTATTTAAAGTAAGTGACAAGAGGGTGCTCCCAGACACCTCGCAGAAGCAAAATATATCATCACTGAGGAAACCCACCCCCAAGCCAAGCCTCAAAGTGCCAGAAACCTCAGCCTCCTGTCGAAACTCCAAGTACAAACAAGGAAACAAGTTACTGTTAGTGAGAGCTAGTATATAAAACGGAATCTTCTACTGGCAGTAGCTGCTGTGAAAAACAGTGAGCTTTTTGGAAAAGATTGAAAGTAAGAGTAAAAACAGAACAGAACGGCCGCACTAAGTGTTGGCAGGGATGCGGAGAGAGCGGCACCGTCTCCACTGCTCGCGGAGATGAAAACGGTACAGCCACTTTGGAAAACAGTTTGGCAGCTTCTCAAAAATCATTTATGCATCTACCGTATAATCCATCCATTCTACTCTTAGGTATTTACCCAAGAAAATGTAAAGTGTACATCCGTACAAAGACACGTACAAAAATATTTGTCCGTGTTTTATTTGTAACAGCCCTAAGCTGAAACAAACCAAATGTCTACCAACAAACGAATATATAACCAAATTGAGACATATCTACCCTGCTTAGCAATAAAAAGGAATGAATTGTCCTACACAGCAACATGAGGAACCTCAAGCTAGTCGTGCCGAATAAAGAAAAGCACCCCCATAGAAACAGCCTATAGTGTATGACTGATGCTATTCCCATAAAATTCTAGAAGAAAGGAACAAACGCGTAGTGACAGAAAACATATCAAAGGTTACCTGGGCAGGCAGGGGGACAGGGTGGGCGGGAGGAAGGGATCCCAAAGGGACGCATGGAAACTTAGGGGTGGCTTTTGGTTTCACAGGTGTGCGCATGAGTCAAAACGTATTCCATGGCATACTTTGAATACACCTAACTCTAAAATTCAAAGAGCCTCAACAGAGCTTTTAAAAAAATAAGTCAGCAGGTTCAAAAAGTTAGTAAAATTTTAATGTTAGAGCTGAACGAGGTACCTAGATTATAGCACAGAGAGACCAAGGGCCTAAAAGGTGCCTTCGCTTAGGGCTCGAGAAAGAGAGCGCGGAGAGCCGGGTGGGGGCGGTGTCTGCAGAGCCGCGTGGGAGGAGCTCCCACGGAGACGTCCCTCCGCAAATGATAAAAGCCCCATGGATTCCTAATGGAACGAATAAAAGTAACCGGCACCCCTGGATATCAAAGTAAAACTGGAGCACCAAAGATTAAAAGGAGATCTTAAAAGTAGCCAGAGATAAAAGACCTGCCAAGGACAGGCGAGCCGACTGAGCGCGGACTCCGCGGCACAGAGCGGGGAAGCGGAAGGGCAGCGCAATCTCGGTTTTCCGTGCCGGGGAAAGGTCCTCCCCGGGGCTGTGCTTCCCCCAGGAATGCGTCTGAATGTCCAGGATAGTTTGGAAATAAACAAGGAAATAAATGTACTTTCAGGTTGATAAAAAGTGAGAATTTTTTTCTGTGAAGGAAATTCTCACGAAAATGCTTCTAGGCCTGGCTGGTGTGGCTCTGTGGATGGAGCGAGGGCCTGCGAACCAAAGGGTCGCCGGTTCAATTCCCAGTCAGGGCACCTGCCTGGGCTGCAGACCAGGTCCCCAGCAGGGGGCGTACGAGAGGCAACCACACACTGATGTTTCTCCCTCCTTCTCTTCCCCTTTCTCTAAAAATAAATAAATAAAATCTTTAAGAAAAGAAGAAGAAGAAGAGGGTGCTTCTGACAAAAGAAAACAACCCCCGAAAGAAGACCTGCCAGTCGCGTGAAAAGCACGAAGGGGCAAGAGGTCTGCCATGGGCAAACGTGCATGAATGGGCTCAAACAAACAAATGACTCGAAAAGAATACATGCAGTGCATATCACAGGAAAAGAATACAGACAAATCTAGAGTATGCACAGAATCCTACAGACTCTGGGTGGGCAAAACATTTTAGAACTGGCTAATAACAAACATTTGTAAGAATGTGGCCGCGGGCGTGTCTCTCACGTCCAGCACAGGCTGCTCACGTCCAATGACGTGGCGTCTGTGCGCGGGGACCTGGGGACGGCTTGTCAAGTTGAAGATGTGCGTGCCTTATAATCTAGCGACTCCGCTTTTAGGTATATTTCTTAGGGCACCTCTTGCACTGTGCCTAAGGAGGCATGTATACGCATGCTCACTGCAAAGAAAGCATAAAAACTTTGGAAATAAATTAAACGTCTGTATGTAAGGGAATAAAAAATAAAATATGTTATACTCATGGGACGGAACACTCTACAGCAATGAAAGGAATGAATTTGATCTATAGGTAACAGCGTGGCTAGATCTTCAGAAACACAATATTAAGTTTAAAAGTCAAACTGGAGGACAATAAATTCAGTTTGATATCTATATACATATTTTAAAGATAGAAATCAGTATTATTATATATTGTTAGTGGATACGTAGATTTGCAAAGTATGAAAATGTGGGCTGAAACAATTACTGCCAAATACATAGAACCACATAATTATCTCTTGTGTTTTATTTATTTTATTTTCCATAATATATAAAGTAACATTTTATGTGTTTTACTTTTTAAAGGCTCAGAGCGAATGTGACAAAATGTTAATACTAGCTAATTCTGGATCATTACCCAGTAGTTTGTTATATAGCTTCTGAGCTTTCCTGTATTTTTTTATTTTTAATTTTCAAAACAAGAGAAAAAGAGAACAGATACTCTGACACACAATCTTACCGTTCTCTGTGAGCTAAGGAATCCCGCTACAGTATTTTATATTCTATAGAACGTTAAAACAACTGAAGTGAAATGGGGAAATGCATTTAAAAACATAGGCTTCTTTCTTGAGGAGAGAACACGCAGGTTGATAGATAACAGAGATGAGTGCATATATATGTGAGTGGGTAGATGGATATATAAGTTGAGACATACAGGCATACACACAATAATGGATGCACAAGTGGGAGCGTGGATGGGTGGGTGGGTGGATGGGTGGGTGGATGGGTGGGTGAGTGGGTGGGTGAGTGGGTGGGTGAGTGGGTGGGTGGTGAATGGGTGATTGATGGATGATTGATGGATGGACGGATGGGGGTATGGCGTGGTAGGCAAGAAGGATGACGTCCAGACCCTAATCTCCAGAACCTGCAAATAGGTTGCCTTCCATGGCAAAAAGGACTTTACAGGTGTGACTGTGGGTATAGCACGATGGTGAGATTATTGGGGTGAGCCCAATTTCCCACCAGAGTCCTCAAGAAGTAAAGAAGTGGCAGAAGACTGTGTCAGGAAGATGGCGGACATTGGAAAGGACGGGATGTAGTCTGAGGCAGCGCAAAGCATCGCTCCTCCACGAAAACTGCAGAAAACTCCAGGTGACGCTTGTGCCCATGGCAGGCTGGGGAGCCTGGGGGAAAGCCACTGTTTGGCACATGGCTGGCTCAAATCTGGTCCCTGGGGAGGTCGCGTGACCTCCCTGTGTCTCAGTTTCCTCTCGGGAACTCAGTGCCTGCAGCTCCAGATGCCTGGTCCGGGTGGGGAAGTAACGCAGGGGCGGGGCCTCGGAGAGTAGGTGAGCGGCTGTGGGGAAGAACTGGGAATTGGCGTTGCCCCTTGAAGAATGGCTAGGCTTCAGCTGAAATAATGACAGTTGTTGGGGCGGGGGGCGGTGGAGCTGAGCGTCCCAGGAAGGGCAGGCTGCAGGGGCAGCCAGGGATGCGCTGGGAAGGCGGAGGGTCTCAGGGATGCGGGGCCCTATTAGAGAATGGGAGAGGGACAGCCAGACGGCACTGCGTCACCCTGAGCGGGAGAGGAGGAGGCCGGAGAAAAAGAGATGACGAGCTTCGTGGGGTGGGGGCAGGGGAGAGGGAACAGGGGCTGGATAAAGTTTGCTTTCCAACTTGTACACTGTGGGCAGCCTGAGGCTTATGAGCAAAGGAGTAAGACAATGAAACAATGGAATTAAAATGCATACGTTCCCCCCACCCCCGCCAATTTGTTGCCAGCATGTTATGAACATGCACATATTGCCGAGAAAAGTCCGGAAGGGCACACACCTAAATGTTAGCACTGATTATCTCTGGTGGTGAGATTACGGGGGTGTTTTATTGTCTTCTCTCTGCTCATCTGTACTTTCTAATTTGTCTGCAAAGGACACGCATCGCCTGCATAATTAAAAAAGCAATCAAGGCTGTAAATAATTAACACGCTCTCTCATCAAGACTTAAACGGGATGGATGTGTTTTCAACTCAGTTGTTTCAACCATTTGCCAGATTCCTGGCCTTAGAAAGGCACCATCCAAAACCACCCGCTGGCGGGGATGTGCAGGGTGGACGGATGGACGGCCAATGGAGTCCTTTAACGGTGATGCTCCCGACGACCCCGGTTTCTAAACAGGAACGCTTTCTCCGCAGCCAGGGCCGCCTTTGGGGCCCCCTGTGAAGCTTCTCCTGGGGGCTTTAGGGGAACAGCGGCCTGCAGTCGCCAACACGATAGGCACGTGCATACGTGACTGCCTTCTCAGCGCCCTACCTTCTCAGTGCCTTCTGCTTGCTGCTCCCGCGGGACGGCTTCGCTCTCCTCCGGGGCGGTCCTTTCTTCCACGCTGGCTCGGGCCCCGCGTCCCCGGACGTGCCCCCTGGGGCTGTCAGGTAGGAGAGCTGAAAATACCAGGCAGGTTGGCATCGTATTGCCCACAGCCCTCACGATGGGGAAATACAGAAGGGCTCGCTCTCTGCAGACAGGATGCCTGCCTGGGGAAATCAAGGCACGGAAATGCTGCATCGCCAGAGGTTCCTGGCGGGGAACCTTCTGGAACCCTGCCTAGGCTAGATCCACCAAGGAAAACCCAGGCGTTTGGTGTTAACGGAAGTCCGGGGGGAAGACCGCGGAGAAGACCGCGTCCAGCGCTCCTAACCCTCTAGCCTGCCCTCTGCAGGGCCGCGCCGCCCTCCTGGCCTTCGGAGGAGGGAGGGCCAGCCCAGGCCCTGCAGACCCCTCTCTCAGGCCGGGCGCCTCCTGTAGTACCATATTTCGCCATGTATAATGCGCACCCACACTTTTGGCCCAAACTTCCAGGAAAAAAAAACACTTTTGTTTTAATTTTTCAATTGCATTTTTTACTCATTTGTACTGAGAAACAATACCGATTATCGTATTCCAGGGTATTGTTTTGCATATGGATGTCGTTATTGCTTTCTAGAGTGAATGCTTTTAATGCATAAGCATAAATAAACGAATTAAAAACGTGTATATAGACAAGGAATTAGTACTTGTGTACAATGCGCATCCTTATTTTCCTCTCAAAAATCCGGGTAAAAAGGTGTGCATTATACACGACAAAATAGGGTGATCCACCCGTCTCAGGAAGGTGCTGCCACCCCCTCAGGCTCCACTCGCCTGGAAGGACAGCCTGCCCTGTCATTGTCCCTTGTGGTGGAATTAGCACCAGACGCTGTAGGACCTTCCTCTGTGGCCTTGGTCTCAGGCACCCCAGAGAAGGACAACACCCCCAATGACAAAATCTAGATGAATGGATCCACTCTCAAGATGGGACTGCACCCTTATCGTTCAATCACCGAATGAGAACTTTCTAGAGCCCCCAGCTCCTTCCCCTTTTGGTCACTGGTCCCAGGAAACTTGGAGGTAATGAATCTGATCATAGGAAATATTTCTCCAGAATCCCTGGTACCATAACTCTCCCCTTTTGTTGTTTGTTTGTTTGTTTGTTTTGCCTGGAGTCTCTCCATAAGAGCTTCTGGTTTACGACCTTAGATGACCCAGAGAGCTCTCCTGAGCAGTGTCGTATTGTACTTTTCACCTCTGCTACCAGGAAGCTCAGAGTTAAATTTCATGTCTAATAAGGAAAACTACCTCGCTCAGAGTGTTGGGTACAGTAATCCTTTCCCTCAAGATTTATTGTTTCATGGTTTCCTGTCGCTGTGCATTTCTGGCCTCCCTCTCTCCTGCCCTCACATGGAAGCCCCGATTTCTCTCGGGGAGGACGTGCCGAGGGGCGCAGCTGCCACAGGCCTGGCTTCCCCTGCTGAGCAAGCTCCCTCCGCCCAGGCCCTGAGGCCAAGCTGTGTTACCTTCCATGGCCGCGTTGCCCCTCCTTCTGCCGGGCTGGTCCTGGTCCACCGTCCCGACGCGGCCTTGCTCGCCGGCCGGGCGTCTGCGCCCTGGCCCGGGGGACAGCCACCAGGGCGGTGCGGCACCCAGCACGCCGACGCGGCCTTCTCCTGCTCGGCGGGCAGAGGGAGGCTGCGGCCCAAGCAGCACCAGGTGAGCCTGGGCTCGGCCCTCAGCGAGGGGAAGGGGCCCTGGGGCCCCCCGCTCCCCGGACTGTCTGAGCGCGCCCCCGCGGCCAGCCCGGGCCAGCCCGCGGGCAGCTGGGCCGAGGAGAGGATGGAGCTGGGCCGCAGGGAGCAGCGGGGACTGTGCTCTGCGGGGGGCCCCGGAGGAGGGCCTTCCGGGACATTTTCAGGAGGCTCCGCCAAGTCCTTGTCCAGTGGCCAGGGATTCAGGGCAGCCCCGGGGGGCTGGGCGCTGGCCCCAGTGCTGCCCGAGCGGAGGTGCCCCGCATCGCGGGTCTCAGTCCTTTGGGGGCCACAGGCCCAGGCAGGCAGGACGGCGGCTGTGCCAGGAGACGCCCCAGCCTGGGGCGTGTTGGGGTCCATGTCTCCTCGCCCCTCTTCCGGCGCCCTCTTTCCCCTGCCCCACAGCCTGGACCAGCTGGGACCCTCCCTGCAGCCGTCCGCTCTCCCTGGGGCCAGGCCTGCATCTGGGAGGGAAGGCAGGAGGGTCGCCGGCTCTGACCCAGCAGAGGACGCTGGGTCCTCCGGCCACCCGCTCCCCCCGAGGGGCCCCCGGGCTCCAGGCTGGGGTGGTGAGGTCTCTCCCTGAGGTAACCTGAGCAGGTACTTGGGGGGGAAGGTGGTGTGCGTTGGGGCTGCAGGGACGTCAGAAGCCTGAGTCTGCGGCAGTGGCGGTGAGCGACCCCCTGGGACTGCAGCGGCAGGGCCAAGACCAGGCTCCTTGTCCCTCAGCCCCACGGGCCTCGGGGCCACCGAGGAAGCAGAGAAATGTGCACCAGAGGCCTCCGGGGGCCCGGCCCGGCCCCTCGCAGTGCACTCGGCGCTCCTGTGTGGCCCCGCTGGCTTGTCCCTAGGGCCGCCGTCCTGGTTCCAGGACGGTGAGGAGGCGGCCTGCCCGGGGGGCGCTGGGGCCTGGCCTCCGGCTCCCAGAGGCCCCGGCAGCTCCACACCGCTCGGCCCCTCCACCCTCAGCTTCTTCCTCTCTGAGGGCAGCGGGGGCTCCACGGGCGGGGGCTCCCCAGAGCTGCCGCAGGGCCGCGCGGGGAGGACGAGGGCCTGCTGGCAGGGCTCCTTCGCGTCCCCACCGCCCTGGGCGCCTCCTTCCTGCTCGGGGTCTGGCAGAACCAGCCTAGGAGCCTCTTGGTCCCCACCTTTGAGGGGGCCGGGTGCTGGTGGCAGCGGACACCCCGGCTCCAGGCTCCCACGTGGAGGAGGCACAGGGCTCTTGCCGTCCAAACACGGGGGCTCTCCGCAGTGGCGGGGGGGCGACGCGGCCCCGCTCCCCCTGGGCTGCTCCTCGCCTGCGGATGTGGCCACCGTCTGCCTCTGCTTGGGGGACTCGGTCACCAAGGAGCCTTCTGCGGCCGGCGGACTTCCCACAGGCCCTGGCTGGGCCCCCACAGACGCGTCCCCGCAGACAGGGGTCCTCCTGCCGTGAGTACGGGCTGCGCCCTCGCCCCCTGCTGCCTCTTCCTGCGGAGGAAGGCCCTGCTCCGCCCCGCAGCCCGCCCCCACCTCCCTGGCCTTCCTGCTCCCCTGGCGGCTGGCTCTCATCTTCTGGTAGAGCCGCTGGAAGGTCTCGCGCCCGTACACGCGCCACCGCTCCTGAGAGAACATCTGCAGCCTTCTCTGGCTGCATCTCCTCCCGGCCGCCCGGCCCCTGCCAGCAGCCCCCTCGTCCCCTGCCACCGCCTTCTTTCCATCCGGGTCCTCTCTGGGGGTCATGGTGTCTCTAGTGGGGGGACACGGCAGGTCCTCCACCGCAGCCTGTCTCACCAGGGCCCGGGGGTGACCGCTGGGGACATCCGCCAGTCGGGCAGCGGCGGGCCTGGGGCTCAGAGGCTTCTGCCTCCTGGGACAGGCGTCCTGGGGTTCTGGCGGCTCCTGCCACGTCCTGGTACCCTCGACGACGGGCAGCGAGTTGCTCCTGGTGACAGGGACGCACTCCACGGTGGCGGAGAGCTGAGTGGGGACGGAGTGGAAGAAGAGCGGCCGCGCCTTGTCCAGCGGCGTGCAGGTGGAGCGGGCGGCGCGGGGGGCACCGGGCCGCCTACGGCCGGGCTCCGGCGCCCGGATCTCAAAGTGGAAAGAGTCCTTGTAGGTGTAGGGCATGGGCAGGTCAATGCTGCCCTGCTTGGACAGGACTGTCTTGCGGGGCCGCACGTGGTCCAGCTGGGGGTCGTCCACCACAGCCTGGTTGTGCGAGATGAGCCGGGCAATGCGTTCCTCCAGCTGCCGCTTCTCCAGCTCGAGGCTGGGCCCCCGGCCTCCCGGCGCGGCCCTGGCACCCCCGGGCCCCGGGGCAGCCTCCCCCTCGGACTCCGCACTGTGCTCCGACAGGCTGTGCAGGGGGCTGCTGGGGGCCAGCGGCTGCTCCGCGCTGTCCGAGCGGGACAGGTAGCCCGAGTCGGTGCTCTCGCACTTCCTCAGCCGGCCCTCCGAGGCCTTGGTGTCCCAGGGCTTCTCCGAGGGCGGTGCCTGCTGCTGTGGCAGGGAGCAGGCCCTGCTGGCCGGCGGAGACCTCTGCCCTGGCAGCGGGCGCCTGGGCTGGGGACCGGCCGCTGTGGAGAGCCCGGTGGACGCCGTGCGGGCCTCTCCGTCCGCAGCTGCAGACCCTGGGCAGCAAACTGCTTCCAACTTGAGATCGACGTTTTTGGCAACTGGGGAGACATGCGCAGTGCCCTGGACCCCTGGAGAAAGGGGTCTCTCTGATGGAGCCCCATCACCCCGGCCTGGGCTCCAGCTGCCCCCCGGGCCGGCTGCCCGGGGGGCCCCTCCAGCCCTGCCCCCCTCCTCCAGGAGGCTGCCCCCGGCGCCGTCGGATTCCGAGGACAGCCGAGAGTTGTTGAGGTGCGTCTGGGTGCGTCTGTGCTTGTACAGGTTGCTTTGGGTCTTAAAGGCGATGCCGCAGGTGGCACAGGGGAAGGGCCTCTCTCCGGTGTGGGACCGAATGTGCTTCTCCAAAACACTGGGTTTCAGGCAGTCCCGGCCACAGTGCGGGCACAGGTACTTGCCGGCGTGGCGCGCCTTCCCCAGGCCGCCCAGTGCAGGCCCCGGGCCCGGCGACAGGACAGGCAGAGCGCCCACGATGCTCACGGTGAGCGTCGGCGTGGCTGGCTTCCCAGCGTGGGCGGGGCCCGGCCCTTCAGGCTGCAGCAGGGGGCTGAGGAGGAAGGGCACGCCGCCCCCGTCCAGGCTGCCTGCCACCAGGGGGGCCCGCGGCTGGAGGCCCCCGGGAGGCACTGTGTGGTACAGGGGGATGGGCAGCGCCTTCAGGAACACGGCGGGGGCCCGGCCCTGCTCGGGCGGCAGGATGGCGGGGCCCAGGGCCAGGTGCGGCGGGGCCTGCCCACCTGCGGCCCCTGGGGGTCCGGGAGCGGGAGCTGGCGGGTCCCTGGCGGGCGAGACAGGGCAGGCGAGTTCTGGCACCTCCATCCCGCATCATCTGGGCGACCCAGGAGGCTGGGTAACCTGTGGGCAAAACCAAACGTTACCATGGGCACCTCTCTGTCCCTCACACAGCACGTTCTCCCCGCCTCCCACCAGGCGTTTGTCCCCCAACGGGGGCCTGGCCACGCCCCCCCCAAGAAAAGTGCCCTCATCCCCATGTCAGGGGAGTGGAAGGGGCTCGCTCTGCAACTGCCGCGTGGCAAAGCGGGATTCACATCTGGGGAGGGTCCCTGTCTCTAGGTTGACATGTCCCAAGGGAGCTCTTGATTCTTGCCCTCGCGTGGGTCACGGCAGGCTCGTCGCTGTTCAGCGCCCTGTGCTGAGGAGACACTTAGGAAACGGGCCGACTTCTCGAAGAAGAAGAGCCATGTCGCTCAGCAAGGCCCTCCAAGTCCGCAGCGGCTCCGCGCTCCGGGGCCAGGCCCGTCCCTTACCCGGGACTCAGTTTCCCACTCCGAGGAAGGGGCGGAGCACCTCCCTGAGGCCCATCCCACCCGGCAGTTCTGAGCCTCCGCTGAGGGAGGAGGGGACGAGGAAGGAACCGAACGTGAAGGTGAGCTCCCGGGACTCGGCCCAGGACAACAGGGGACTCGCGGCGGAACCTGAGTCTCGGAGAATCAGTGCACAGTCCTTCAGAGCGCGACCCAGACCAGGGCACGCGCCACCCACACTCCTGCCAGACACCCCGCACTATCTACCTGGGATCCCGACGGCACTGGGCGTCCGGTATTTTACGTGGCTACCCCCCTGGGAAAAGGAGCACTCCCTCACCCTCAGGGCCCGGCGTGGGTTGCTGCTCAAAGGCGGGGCTTTCCAGGCCTCTCTGGATCCAGCTGGGACACAGCTGGTTCCCTGTCGCCCAGGGGAGCAGTGGGGCAGATGCCAGGCAAGGGAGCAAGAGAGTCCCAGCCATGCTTTCCGAACCATGGGGGCTCTCGGGGCGTTGAGGGGGCCTCGGGAGTCCTGGGGCATCCCCGGAGCCTTCTTCCTCGGGCGACCATCTCCCGAGCTCCATAAGCACGCTCCAGCCACCCCCCAGCTCCTCTCCTCAAGAAAGCAAATCCAAATTCCAGCCTTCAGCAGGGTTCCAGCCGAGGAGGGGGAGGGGCGGGGAGGGGCACACTGGAGCCAGCTCAGACCTGCTCACACCGGCTCTCGAGGGCTGATGGTTAATGGTTACATTTCCAGGAATTCCACAAGCCCATTGTTAAACATGCCCATAATTAAAAGTTGAATCCTATAATCTTACAATTAAATACCTTCTATTAAAAAGTCCTTCAACTGAATATCACATGCAAAAGAATAGCACGAAACCCCTACCTCACACCTTACACAAAAATAAACTCAGAATTGACGTCAGAGCTAAAACTACAAAACTCTTAGAGGAAAACGTAAGAGTAAATATTCCTGACTTGGGATTTTTATGCGATAAATTCTTAGATAGAACACTGAAAGAATAGCAATGCAAAAAAGAAAACAGATAAGTTGGACCTCTCCAAAATTAAAAACTTTTGTGCATAAAAGGACACATCAAGAAAACGAAAAGAAAAACCCAGAGAAGGAGAGAAAAACATTTGCAAATCATGCCTCTAATATATCCAGAATATATAAAGAACTCCTGACTCAGTGAGAAAAAGACAAACAACTCAGTTTAAAGCTGAGCGGCAGACTTTCTCCAAAGAAGATACACAAGTGGTCAAAAGCACATGTAAAGGTGTTCAGTATGATCAGCCATTAAACAAATGTAAGCAAAGACGCAATGAGGTGCGACTTTGCCCCACCTGGCTGGGCCGTGGCAACGACAGTAATAAACCGGGAATAGCAAGTGCCAGTGAGGACGTGGAGAAATTGGAGCCTCTACACGCTGCTCGCAGGCGTGTAAAATGGTGCAGCCGCGTGGAAAACAATTTGGCAGCTTCTTAAAGAGTTAAGCACAGGCCTGCTACGCGACCCGGCAATTCCACTTCTAGGGATGTACCCCAAAGGGTTGAAAATGGGTGTTCAAATAAAAACTTGCATACGAATGTTTATACCACCACAATTCAAAATAGCTAACGGTTGAAAACAACCCATATGTCCATCAACCGAGGGATAAATAAACAAAATACCATATGTCTATATAGGGGGATATTATTCAGCCATAAAAAGAGAATGAACCTTAAAAACATGCCACAGTATGGATGGACCTTGGACACATTAGGCTGAGTGGAAGGAGCCAGCCTCAAAAGATCACATATTGTAATTCCATTTATATGAGAAACCCAGAATAGGCAAATTTATAGACACAAAAAACAAGGTTATGGAGGTTGCCAGGGGTGGAAAGGGAGAGTGAGGAATCACCCTTTTATTAAGTAGTGGGCTTCTTTGGGGGTGACAAAATGTCCTGTGGCAAGATAGAGGTGGTGGCGGCACAGTGTGAATATACTAAATGCCACTAAATTGTACACTTTAAGTACTTACAGCAGCAACTTTAATGTTATGTGAATTTTACTTCACTAAACACTCACAGCTCATCACTAATGATTTTAGCACATGCCCTTGAGGTTAGTTACATGGATTGCATTGGTGCCGTGGGAACACCATCTACGGGTGTGACCTCTTCCCAACCTTGGGCTCTGTACTGTCATGGTCACAGCTGGGAGCTGGCCATGGTGGAGCATTTACACCACAGCAATTGGAAGATGCGGCATCGGTCCACTTTTTTTTTTTTTTTTTAATCCTGAGACCATCTCTCCCAATCTCTGTTCCTCACAAACCCATCTAAGGTTATGGATCTCACCATGTTACCTGCCAAAACAAACAAACAAACAAACAAGAAAAGAAAAAAAGTCAAGACCTTACCATTTTTAAAGGAAAGATTTAAAGACAGACTCCTTTCGAGACTAGTGGGTCTGACATCAAGGCGCTGCATCCTCCCTGGCTCAGGATGCCCCAGGGACGCCACACCCGAGCGTCCAACCCTGCTCCCCTGGGTTGCTGGGGATCCCTGTGGACCTAGGGCCTCGGCTCTGAGAACAGGTCCCTTGGTCAGAGCTCCTGGGGAATCAGGTGAAATAATGACGTTCATTTTTATATCCAAAATATTTTCTGGAATGCAAACCAACTAGCTGGGAGAGAAGTGACAGGTTGCCCAGTAGAGCTGCCCCCTGGGCTCGGGGTGCGTGGTGTGGCCGGCCATGCGGCCCCTCCCACTGGACGCTCGCACGGATGCGGGGGGACACACGCGTTAACAAGCACGAGGTGTGCGTAGTCAAATATTTCAAACAAGAAGTGGTGGAGCAAATTATTGCTCTCCAGTATGACATTCACTGGAGTGTGTGACGATTCCAGTTTAGTTTGCACCTGTCGGAACTTGACCTTTGCACCCATTCAGAGGTTCCTGGGGCACCTCCCCGGGGGCGGGCGCTATGCTATACGTTTGGTCCCCCAGAGTGTGCACCTGTAACAAAAGGTTGTGGAGCTCATGTTCTAGGTAGGGAGACAGAAAAGAAAGGGGTTGTTTGTTTGTTTTAAATAATTTATATCATGTGTCTGAGAATGGAGGGAAGAGGCCTTGGTAAGGGAGGATAAGAGTGTGGTGCCGGGGTTGCGTGGGGGGTCCTGGCGGGGCGAGAGGGTCGCCATGGTAAGTGGGATTGTGTCAGGCGAGCCTCACTGACACGGTGACATCGGAAGAGACACAAGAGGCAGCGACAGGGTGAGCCACGCAGGGATGTGGGGAAGAGCGTGTGGGCGCGGGGACGGCGGGCGTGTGCCCGGTGCGCTGGAGACGCGGCGCCCCGCACGTAGAGGGGACGGCTTCCCGACACCAGCTGCCCAACAATCTGTTGTGATTCTTTCTGGGAAAATCTCTTCTTCCCTCAGCCTTTGTTTCTTCAACTACAAGAGTGGGGGTGGGGGGTGCGGGGTCTGCGAAAAGACCTGAGGTTGGCGGTGCAGAGGCACCGTTCCCAGTTACGTGACAACTAGGAGGCGCGCCGTGATTTCGCTGTGACTCTTGCTCTCCTCCACAGCAGATGGAGACAACACGGCGCACAGCGTTCTGGGGACTGAGGGACAAGGCCAACACGAAGGTGAGGCCCGGACCACCCCCTGGCCCCAGGGAGCACGGCTTCGCAGATGATCTGCGCTACCGCACGGCACCCCCAGAGCGGCTCAGCCCGCCGCCGGGCCTGGCCTCACGGGAGGTCCCCCGCGACCCCTCACGGCTCAGAGCGCATGAAATACCATGGCACACAACACCGCAATCCGCAGTCCCTCGGCGGGCTACCCACAGATTTGTTTGTTTATGGTGTGAAATCACATAATTCGGAATATTGTGTTGGTGATGGTTATTGTTTTATATAATTACATTAATTAGCCAGGAAAATAGCAAACAGATGCAAGGCTGAATTCAAGGCAGGGTAGGACAAAGAGACTCCGCAGATTACCAGAGTGAACCTCACACATGAAACTGCTCACTTCGGAAATGCACACAGAGGGCTCGCCAAATGCCATGCGCAGACACTCGGCAGGGGGCGGGGGGCCTGTGGGCCTTACTCCTGAGGGGGAGGGGCGCTGTTTAGGTTTTTGGGTTTTTTATTATTTTTAAATTTATTTTTCAATTACCGTGGACATATGTTCCTTAGGGCCTGCAAAGGTGGCCTTCTGGCTGCAGAGACTTCTCGCGAGGTCATGCTCCTCCCCATTCCCCAGCTTAGGGCCGCCCCCACCCCCAGCAATTTGTGTTTTAATTAAGGAATGACTTACACGCCATACTATTCACCCCTTACAGTGCCTAGCGGTACAAATTCTGATGAACAGACACAGCTGCGCAGCCACCAGCAGAACACAGCTGCAGGAGAACACCGCACCGCCCAAAGTGGCCTCCCTCCCTCCTCCACCCCAGCCCCTGGCGGCCACAGGTCTATTTCTGTCCCTATAGTTTTGCCTTTTCCAGAATGTCATGTAAATGGAGTCACCGCCTGGGTCGCTTTCTCAGTCTG